AAAGGTATGGTAATTGTCTTCCCAATAACCATTACGTGAGGTGGAGCTCTGCTTTCTTGGAGATGACTGAACACCTGCCTGCTGATGGGAGGTAGGGAATGAATTCCTTATTTTTGCTTTGCTTGCGTGGCTTTTGCTTTACCTATTAAACTGTCTTTATCTCAACCCATGAGTTTTCTCACTTCTACTCTTTTGATTCTCTCCCCCATCCCACCGCTGGGGGAGCGAGGGAACAGCTGTGTGGTGCTTAGTTGCCAGCTGGGGTTAAACCACAACCTGCTTTTAGGGCAGCTAACCTATAAGAGTTTACTGAAGTGCAAGAACTTCATGAACAGTAGGAGCTGCAATCTTGTAGATTCAAAGCTTGACAATAACCTAGAAAAAGAAGCCTACAAAACAGTATAGCAATGTAGGCCACCTTTTACTTCAACATACGACACCAGAAGAAAGAGGAGAGAGATTAACAGTTAAAGGGAGGGTGTTTCTCTGTAGAAAACAGAGTATTGCACAGGAGAAATGGAAACTCATCACAAAGTGGTCTCCTCCATGTCCCACAGTAACTCAGTCCAAAGTGAAAAGATTTCAGAAATAAGATAATAAAATTTGAAACATTGTTGCAGACAGTAGGATGGATGTGCAGACAGTGGAGGTGCAACACAGAGGGCCTAAGTATGCCAGTATGGAGTTCTGGGCCTTCTCTGACACATCCAAACCTCCCTCTCTTCTTAGACTCAAAGAAATAGCCTTGAAAAATAAACTTGAAAACTGACAGCTGAGTAGAACCATTAAAAGGTATTCCTTGAATTATACTTTGAATACATTGAATAAGTTCTCTAGTCTCTCTCTCTGGTCAGAAAATGAAAATCCCAAAGGAACTTCAGGTTTGTTTATTTAAAACTTGCTTCTTATTACCTTTAGATGTTTGTGCTTTTGTAATCGAGTAATTCAATATTCTTTTATAGGAAGTAAACATAAGAGAAATTCTTTACAATCCTCTTGAAGATGACCTGCAGGAGGAATGTTGTTCTTGCCAATTTTAAATCACTTTTGAGCAAGATGGTTTGTAAGGAGCTTTTTATTTACAGGCAAACAGCAATAATAGTCTTCTATCTCCCAACTCCTCTGATATTCCTAAAGCTTTTAGCCAAATTAACAGGTCTTGTTCTTTCAGTTTTAGTATGAGAAGTCACACAGACTTAAACAAAATAAACATTAATACATAGTTACACTATCTTCTAATGAGTCTCAGATCAAAACTGCTTCTCTTAAAAATACAGTAATGACAGGCCTTGTTTTAATTATGCTTTTTTCCTAACTATTTTTCTAATCAAAACAGCTGTGGAAAAAAATTCACAAAAGATATTTTAGAGGAGTCTTACTCCTACTAACTTTCTCCTAAACACATATTCAACCTTTTTTCTTTTTTAATTAAAACACAATCCAAAGATAAAGGTTCTTTTTCATCTAATACAATAACTGAACATTGTCTAAACAACTGTCTTGAAAGTATAAATCTATTTAATCTTATCAGGTACCTCTTTTGAAATAAGTTTTGAGAATAGTTTTCACATACCTGTATTAAGAAGTTAGTTTCATTTTCTTTCATGAAAAGTTCAATGTAAGACTTGATTTTACTTATCAAAAGATTGTAACTGAAGTTTTGGAGGAGGGGAACATATGGATCCTTGCTTTTAACCACGGTTGCCAGCTTCACCCTTAAAGGCTAAGAAAAGCACAGCTTTATACAACACAAAAATATATCCTGCAGTAAACTTGGCACCTATGCTAAACAGGACATACACAAAGCTAAATAAGATGATGATATAGTTTTTTGAATATGCCTATACAACTTCATGCTGCAGTTTGAAAAGGTTCTAAGGTTAATTAGTTATAATACCAACAGTTTATGTGCTCAGTAAATGGTAAGTGTAGCTTTCCAGAGATCCTCATTTTCATTCCCTTTAGGAATAACACTGAAAGCAGAGTTGTCAGCGGAACAAAAACACCCAGAAAAGGCCACTCATTACTGGGTTATCTTTTCTCATTTTCTGCCTCAATAAGGTCACCATTGAAAGGCATGTACAGGAAAGGGACTACTTAGTACAGTAGCATTAAGGACAAATCAATACCGATAATCGCAATTTCATGTTTTGTCTGTCAACTGCTCTGAATCTGACAGGACCAATATAGCCAAGAATTTACTTTTGTGTACAGGCTGCATTCTTATTTATGAATTTGAATGCTATTACCACAACCTACACTTACCAAACATCTGAATCCTCTGAATTAAGAGTGTATCCTAACAGTAAGTTACACACATGCTAATATTTATATAGAACATGTGTCCTAATACACCAGAGGAATATATAGGCAGCATTTTTGCCTTTTTTTCTTTCTGCCTGCAGTCCTTTTGCTCTTTTCTCCACCCCACCAAATTCAGGTATGTGCACGAGCTGTTATTTTAGAGAGATATGCATTTGAACTTGCATCTTTCTGAATGATACAGTCAACATCAAAACAGGAGGTAGCCTGCCCACATTATCTTTTCCAGTTAGAGGCATAGCAATATCCACTATATCTGTAGTACTACAGATGCTAATGAGCTTTCATTCCCTGTGATGCTTCAGTCTGTAGAACACTAATCAACAGAGACAACAAATACAGTGCACTGCAATAGTCCAGAAAAAGTCAGCATATTGATTATTAGGGAGTTACTATGTCTCTACCAGCATGTTTATACTATCTTTACTCTGAGAAAACATCAATATTGAATTCCCAGAATCTCTATTGACACCTCACTCCTCATATGAAGTGGGAAAGGAAATGAAGTTTGGATTGATACTGCCCACAGTGAAGAACAACTGCTGCTAGAAGCATTTTACTCCCCTAAATTACTCATTATTTCTATCAATCCCCTACCCACAAATTTCCTTTTGTATTTACAAGTGCCACGGGTGTGTAAATGACTGCATAGGCAGTCATGGGGACTAAGCTATGTAGGCAGCACTTGATAGCTTTGGAAACCCGTTCCCCTCTTCTCCTCCGAAAATGAGGGAGCTTAATGCAAGTCAAGCAAGTTACTACCTTATCTGATTCCGAGTCTGTAAATAGCCTCTCAAGAACTTCAGCAGCCTCCTTGAAATATCCGTTTTCCATATGGACTGCTACAATCTACAACCAAAATAATTACAAGATATGGTGAAAAACATTTCATCTGAGATTCAGAAAAAACAAGAGAAGTCACACTTTTACAGTTTTGTAAAACTTCCAAAATCCAGGACTATATATTTAAGGGTTACCAACAGTTATCTAGTTACAACAGTTAGTTCTGAAGTAATATTAAACCTCATGTATAAAGGCCTAAAACCTCTCCATCAGGCATTTAAAAGGACCCTCATTGATACAAAATGCTCCACACTTGCCTACTAAGTATTGATTTCATCTTTCCCTGAAAGACTTTAACAGTCCCAGTATCTGTCAGCAGGTTTTTATGTTTTTTTCTTTGAAATCAGAAGTTTTCTAATACAACAAAATATTTTTAAGGTAAAAAAAAAAAAGCTATTCACAATATATTTTAAAGCTCAAGATACCAGCGTTTTGAAATTGACCTCTCAATTGGTATCTCTTTTTTTTTTTCTTTTTTTTTTCCTCAGATGGGTAGCTTTTTTAAGCTATTTTGAACTGGGACAAACAAGAACTAAATTACACAGGAAAAGGTCCCCTGTACAGATCTATTTACTCTGTACTTGAAAAATACAACAAAGCTAGAAAATTCAGTTCAGACTGCTAAAAGGCCAAGGTTTTTTTGTAAAAGGAGCCTTGTTTTAGTAGAATAAATAGGTACCATCCCGAAGCATTTTGAGTAAGTCACACAGACCTGAATTTGAATCAAGTGACGAATCTCTTTGTGAATCTTCTCCAGTTTAATTTCTTCCTTCTCAAGTAAAGTCCAGAAAGACAGAGCAGATTCTAAAGGTGAAATTCTTTGATCATTTTCAAAATGGCATTCTTTGGGGGGGTGGAAGGGGGAAAAAAAAAAAAAAAAAAAGGTATTTAAATACCTTAAAAGATAAAGCTAAACATAGTACATTATTTATACAAAATAAAGTAGTATGTACTATACATAATTTCAATTTCTTTTTCCTCAAATAATTTTTAATCTCTCTCTTCAGGTGTGTTTAAGAGACCTGAACTAACTGTCACCTTTTCAGAGAGACTGGTTCTTCCTACCCTTGCTAATAACATTACTGTTGCATTTTTAAGGGAGATTGTGTCTACTAATTATGGTTCACTTAAAATGCCACTTACAATAGTGCCAAGTTTAGCATCATGTATTTGAACTGGCATTAATAATACTCCTACATTAAGCTTGGCAGCAGATATCAAAACATTTGGCATTGATCCTATATATTTTGTAATATAACCACTATCCTAAGTTGGTTTTTTTTTCCCCCATCTCTATATTTCCATGTCTTAACTTTTTGTTATAGTTGAAGGAATTCAACGGAGGGAAATTCAGACAACTTAACACAGGAAGATCACCGAAAAAGCAGAACCAACCTCTCATGTCATTGTACTACCACACTAACACCAAGATTTGTGCAAACTCTCAGCAAGCAGAATCAGCGACCAGTTCTGGCAGAAATCTAGGCCAGCCAATTAACCATCCCCTCAACACTCTAGAAACGTTTCCCAGTTCATTGCACATCTGCACAAGCTGGTGAGCCAACACAACTGATGCAGTAGGAGCTGGCAGGTACACGAGACTGTTTTTCTTCCCATGGCACTGCCAGCTCAGCTCAAGATGTTCACTGAACTAGTCTCACTTACTCCTTCATTTTATATGACACAATAGCAGAATCTCCCTTAGTAACCTCTTATTCCATAAAGTATTTTTCAGACATAAGGTAAACAATTTAAGCAATACTGAAAAAAAAAAAATAATTTGATACTTGCTACAGTGAAAGACAAACATTGAAAATTGAAATAGTATTATATGCATATATACACATTAAAAATAATACTTCTGTGTTTCTCTAATTATTGTTTCAATCAAGTAATATGACACTTCATATTAAGTTTATTTTAATATTGTAAAAACAAAGTGTGTAACTGTTAAAGAGCTGGCATCCGAAACAGCCTACTCTGCTTTAAGGCTCAGTATGGATTAAATACTTTAGTAGGAAAGCTACCATACAATATATTAGCTTTCCATGTACACTGTGCAGCTACATCTGATGTAATACCTGCTAAGGACATGCAATTTTCCTCACCACTCAGGTCATTCTCTACACTGATAAAAACACACATTGAAGTCATATTCCCAAGTGTTATATACAATAATATAGTTTTAAGGCATTTTCAGAGTTGTATAATTTGTATATGATGAACTATTATAAATCTGATTCTCAAGTTGAACTAAATCAAGAAGAACATTATTACCTGACAAGCAACATTAAGAAATTTCATTTCATAAAAACAAGCCTTTGTGGCACTGCTAAGCTAGAATACACTTTTTTTTTTCCTTCCATGCTCATGCTGGCAAGACTGCTTTCGAAGTCCTTAAATTCCAGTGAGATTTATCAAGCAGTGAAAACTTGCAGTAAAAAAGTTAAGTCTTCCAGAAACTTGAGCACAGAAGCAAAATCAGCCTGGCTAAACCAGTACGTTGTGAAAACAGACAAACAGGAGACATGGTAGTGAATAAGAGTCCCTCGGACCTGCTGCCAGCTGAAAGTCCTACAGCCTTGTGTATGACATGAGGGCTGTCATCCTTTTCATCCATATTCTTATTCCCGTTTGTGCTACTTTAACCTCTAGAGTTACACGTGCAGAAAGAAACGTGCATTCTGTGCTTTAAACTTGCAAATGGTGCTTACTAAGAGCTAGTCAGTCTTTTCCTGTATATTTCTTTTGTTGATGCTACTCAGACCAAAAGTGTGTGTGTGTGTGTATATATATATATATATATGTGTACAGTAAAGGCTATGTGAAAGCATACCTAATACACCTCTGTGCAATTTCATGCAAATCTATTTAAACAAGAGAAAAAAAAAAAAAAGAATATTTACCAAGATTTTTTCCTTTTGCAACTCTTATCAAAAGCTGACAGAGATACACCGTTTTTTTCTGATGCATAGGTATTTTCGAGAGACCATTAATAAGAGCTGGAAAAGATAAGAAAAGTTAAGTCAGTCTTGCTCCAGCACTGCCACAGTGTGGCTAGAAATATACTAGGCACTGTGTTATCAGACTTTAATAATCTACTAAATTCCTATTTCATTAGGAAACCAATGAAGTGCATTTAGGTAATATTCTTCTATGTTAAAAGAAATTAAATCATATTTAAGAATCTGACCAGAAAATTCTACCCCTCTTGCAGTTCACAACAGTAACCTAGGAGCGGTAGGACGCATCGCAGGCTTATTATATTCATCAGATTAGAAGATGACAGTATCTTACATAAATAAATGAAGTTTTGTTTTGCTTAGTAGCTTACTATGAAAGACAGCTGTCTGCTCCAGACAACATTCCTGTGGAATGCCTGCAAAACAGGAGCCATATGCAGACTGGTAACACTTACATGTTGCTATAGCAACTGACGGACCAAAAGCAGTAAAAACTACAAGGAGAGCTTAGTCAGAAATGTCAATCTACAAGGGAAATCCTCCTCACAAGGTTGGAGGGCCACAAGGATTATTATATATTTTGGAATGGGAGCTATCGTGACATTATTTCCATCATGCTGGTTACTGTGAACTTCATAGCTGAACGTGCTGGATGTAGTAATTTGTCTTCACAGTATACTACAGAAACATTCAAACTGAAAAGTGAAGAATGCGTCAAGTGACTTGTCCAAGTTACAAACTGAATACCCTAGTTCAGGAAGTTTATGTACACCTTTTGGTGTCAGCCTAGCAAAAGCCAGGAATCTGGAGCATGAGACCCCCCAAGATTTGTAACAACAACTAGAGTACATAACACATTGTTTTACTTGGAAGTACTCAGCCTACTTGCTTATTAGTGTATGATCATCTCCTATGAACACTGGATAAGCATGAGATTACAAAGTAATTAAATAGCCCCAAAAGATTACCTAAACTAACATCAAGCAGGATATTGTCATTTAGGCTTGGAAGAACATGTTTACAACTGCTTCAGTGAGGACAGGTGATACCAGAGCTTTTAATTCCTATAGCCAAAATAGGAAGTAAAAAAAAGAACATTACTTAGAACAGCTGTAAATTTCCACTCGTTATAATCACAATTTCAGGATTCTTCCACAGCAGACAATAGAATTCAATTTCGGAGAGTTAGGATGAGTTCAGTGATGGAGATAAGCACCATCATCATGCCCTGAAGATGGAGCCAGAGCTTGGAAATTTTGGAAGTAGGCAGAATACTGTAGCTGAACAATTCCACAGAACAAAACGGGTCATCTTGACAAGTAGCTTGAGATCTTTCAGCTTTTGCTGTTCTTTTAAAGTGCACCTACATTAGTGCTTTAATTCAGAGCAAGGTGCACATTTAAAGCAAACTTCTTGTGCTTGGCTTGTACAATGGAGCAGTCTTTGAGTACACAAATTGAATTTCTTTAGAGCTATTCCAAATAAAAAGAAACCTTGAAATGTTTACTGTATGGAGACCAGGTCCATAGAAGCAATTGCTCATAAGTACTACAGACAAACAGAAAAAGAAATAGCCTTAGTAATCTTTTCTAGACTGTTCTCTCTCCCTGCCCCCAAGGCAGTTTCTCTATTAATTCTTTTGTTAATAGTGCCCTCAATCATAAATTGCTTTCCTCTCTTTGGCCACTCAAATGTACTTCTTGTCCTAACCTCTCATTAGAAATTCTAGCCCCATATTCTGGGCTGCATCAAGAGAAGCGTGGCCAGCAGGTCGAGGGAGGTGATTCTCCCCCTCTACTCTGCTCTCGTAGGGCCCCACCTGGAGTCCTGTGTCCAGTTCTGGAGCCCCCAACATAAGAACATGAACCTGTTAGAACAAGTCCAGAGGAGGCCACCAGGATGATCCAAGGGCTGGAGCACCTCTCCTATGAAGACAGGCTGAGAGAGGTAGGGCTTGTTCAGCCTGGAAAAGAGAAGGCTCCAGGAAGATCTTATAGTGGCCTTCCAATACCTGAGGGGGGCCTATGAGAAAGCTGGGGAGGGACATTTCATAAGGGCAATTAATGACAAAATAAGGGGAAATGGCTTTAAACTGGAAGAGGGGAGGTTTAGATTAGATACTAGGAAGAAATTCTTCACAGTGAAGGTGGTGAGACACTGGAACACATTGCCCAAAAACGCTTTGGATGCCCCCTCCCTGTAAATGTTCAAGGCCAGGCTGGATGAGGCTTTGAGCAACCTGGTCTAGTGGTAGTGGAATGTGTCCCTGCTGATGGCAGGGGGGTTGGAACTAGATGATCTTTAAGGTCCCTTCCAACCCAAACCATTCTATGATTCTAAATCCAGTTCCTTGCCAGGCAGACGGCAAGGAAGCTAGTTCAGGTATATAGATCATAGTATCCTGTCAAGGAAGGATAAAGCAGGCAAGTCACGTAACCTTGCTGTGCTATCTTTAAATCCTTAATCCCAGGTAATCTAACTATTTCTACTTGGCAGTGTACTGAGCTGTACAGAAATATTATTTATCTCCTAATAAAATAGCTCATCTTGTTCCCTTAGCCTTTCTACATTCCCCCACTTACACAGAATGGTAGGAGTTGGAAGGGACCTCAGGAGATCATCTAGTCCAACCTGCCTGCCAGAGCAGGTTCATCTAGAGCAGGTTGCACAGGATCGCATCCAGGTGGGTTTTTAACATCTCCAGAGAAGGAGACTCCACACCCTCTCTGGGCAGCCTGTTCCAGTGCTCTGTCACCCTCACAGTAAAGAAGTTTTTCCTCATGTTTAAGTGCAACTTCTTGTGTTCCAGTTTGTGTCCTTTGCCTCTTGTCTTGTCACTGGGCACCACTGACAAGAATCTGGCCCCATCTTCTTGACACTCACCCTTTAGATATTGATAAACATTTAATTCAGTTTGAATTGACCTTCTTAGTGACTGCCAAACATTATTTCAGTAGGGTCTCTCTTTGACATATGCAAGAGTAATAGTTCTGTATTGCTGTGAAAGAAAAAAAATAAAAATCACACCCACTTTTCTTATGTAATCTTATACCTGCACTTTGCTTTTTCCATAGACTTCTACACTTCTGACTTTGTAATCTTATAGCATTGATATGCTAAGCTCTGATACTGAACAGAGCAAGAACAAATTCCAAATTTGCTATTAGTTCCCAGTTCCATGTGACTCTGCATTCTGTACCATTTAATTAATTGTTTCTACTAATATAGTACTCAAAGGCCTTCCTGCTTTTCTCAGGAGATATTCCAATCTGCTGCTGTGTTGGTAGTCTCTGCTTCCCATTTATGTCTTCATGAAAGTTTAGTATAATAATCCCACTGAGCCACTGTCCCAGAGCCAAACACAGAGAGGCATCGTTAATAATTTAATCTAGCAGCCCCCCATTCAGTGTACTTCATTGTTATCTTTAGATTTCTTGTCTCATACAATTTCTGATATCAATCTCCTTACTAATCATTCTGCATGCCATTGTATTCAGTTCTTTGCAAAAGTTTAAACAGGTCATGCTATCATATTTACTTGAGTCAAGAACACACACGCACAAAAAATTCCCCAAAAGGTCCAATTTGGTATCTTCAGGAAAATTCTTTCTAACAGAAAACCCCTCATAAATCCATCAAATTTATCTGAGACCTAGACATTTGCTTCCAGCTGTTAACTACTCCCACTCCTAAATATTTCTTGCTTTAAATAAATGTTTTTCCATTCAAAATCCAGCCATTAGACTTCATTCTGCCTTTGTCTGCTAGACTATAGCTCCTTGAAATACTATATAAACCCAAGAAACTCAGTGTATTTGAGTTATTCCTCTCCAAGCTTTCAGTAGTCTTGAACTCGCAGCACCTGAGGCCTCAGCTTCAGTAACTGCTGGCAGTGCATAGACCACCGTATTATACATTCCAGCTTCACAGAATCAAGATGACAGGTTAACACCAGCGCCAGTATTCACGTCATCATCTACAAGACCTCACCCCCAACCTCTCAGACACCACTGTTCTCACAGAATCATAAACGGTTTGGGTTGGAAGGGACCTTTAAAGATCATCTAGTTCCAACCCCCCTGCCATCAGCAGGGACACCTTCCACTAGACCAGGTTGCTTAAAGCCTCATCCAGCCTGGCCTTGAACACTTCCAGGGAGGGGGCATCCACAACTTCCCTGGGCAACCTGTTCCAGTTTTATTGTGACAGCTGACTTTGCTTCTGTCCCTGGTCTCATTTAACTAAAACAGCAACATTCCCCCAGTCTGTGATTATCTTACAATACTCCAGCACAGCTGACACTGCCTGCTAAACTCACACACCGGTGGATTAAAAAAAAAAAAAAGATTTTTTTTCAAAAGACATTTACAAAAAAGATTTTTTACAAAAAAAAGAGAGATTTTAAAAAAACTAGAAAAAATAAAGGAAAATTTTTTAAAAATAAAGATTTTTTTAAAATAATGATTTTTAAAAGAAACAAAGATTTTTATTTTTTTTTTAAATAAAGAAATCGGCCTGCACTGCTTCATTTCCACCACGTGCCAACGTTGCTGGCAGCGCTGGATCGCCTCAGCAGACGGCCCCGTGTCATTCTAGGAGCCACCGAAGCCCTC